ACACTCACACCAAGAGAAATTACTAGAATAATTTTCTACTTAGTGGGATTTACAAAAATACCAATATTATACAAATTGAGATGGTGTATTTTCCACAGGTATTTCTCTCTTTCCCGCAAAGATTTGATGTGTAACTAGATCCCTTGGTCCAGTAGAAATAAATGGCGGTTTACCGCTCGAAATTTCCCAAAGAATGACCCCTAAACTATAAATATCTGATTTCTTGTTGCGTGAATATGATGAATCTTTCAAATATTGTGGATCGATATATGCCGGATCGCCATAATGATTATTAGGTCTTGAGGTTGATGAAACCTCATTTAATTGTTTAGATAATCCAAAATCAGAAATCAACATTTTTTTTTCATGAACTAAAATATTTTTTGAATGCTTATAAAAAATAAAATAATATTAACAACGATATTAAAATTTTAAATAAAAAAAATATATGTATAATTTTCTATAAATTATAGTAATATGTACTTACAAGGTTCCGATGAATTACCTCATGTTTATGTAAAAACATGAGGCCAAGAGTGATTTCTCCAGCGATGCGTAATTTATCTGACCATCGAAGTCGTGAAAAATTTTTTTTTAAAAAATTTTCCAAATTCCCACCATTAGCATATTGTAAAACCAGATTATAAAATCCGCCGGTTGACGGATCTATCGCTATTAAAAAAAAAAAAAGAAAATTATTAAATATTTTTATTTTTATTAAATTAAAGATTTATATAATCATACATACTCTTTGTTACTCCATAAAACGTTATAATATTTGGATGAAAGCTGACTTTTTGATATATACGCAACTGTTTATATTTTATAAAAAAAAAATTCAGCATTTAAAATAAATTTTTTTTTTTTAAAAAAAAAAAAAAACGTTGATAATTTTATAAATAAGAATACCTCTTTTATAAAGTCTTTTATTACTTTATCCTCAAGTTTATCATCAAGACTTTTAAGAGCTACAATTAATTTGCATGCTCTCCACCTAGCTTTTTTAAGCTTCCACCCATATTCACATTCGCATTCATTTATAAAATCAAAATCGAAAAAATTTATGTGCTCACCTTTAATAGCATCCCTCAGCCAATTTGTTAATGAACTTGTTGCAATGATTTCTGAATTTCCTAACATTATTTTAGAAGAGTGATAAATAACGACTGTGTTTAAATCTTTAAATCCGAAATGGTTCTGTATCACTTCACATGACATGAATTATTGGTTACGCATTAAATCCTTAATATTAATCGGGAATTACTAACCTGAAACAATCCTGTCAAATAATTGACCAGCTAATAAAGCACGTGTATGTTGGTCCGGAAAGTCTACGGACACGTACCGAACAGGAGCGACCGTCATCGTTACACAAATTGCAGATCACTTCCGAAGTTCTCCCAACCAATCAAAATTACGAATTTGAAAGATAGAATTGATATAAACCAAACGAGATTTGAATTAAATTATTAAAATTTATATTTTATATTTAGAATAAAATATTTTAAACATTGCAAAATACCTTAAACATTACTACAAG